TTGTTTTTTTTTTTTAATTCCATATTATTCAAAGGGAAAATGAGAGAGATGATGATTCTGAGGTCACCCTATCCCAGCCATATTATTCACATATCGAGTCCCAATAGCAACAGTGTAGGGATGAGCACGACAATGCAGGTGAGCATAAAAGATGGACAATTTTCGGGGATTTTAGATTGGGAACACAACAAAACACTAACACTCAAGGATTTGGGAATAGTCAGACGCCTGTTAATATCGATGATTCGTTTTTAGATCGAATCAATGAATTGTTAAACGAATTCAATCAATGGCACCAGCGTGACCAAGAAGAACAATAACGTCGTCTATCATTTTATTTTCAAATCATATGTTACTAATTTTATGCTTTATTGTAGTCCATGTATGTTGATATACTTATTACATGATAATTATATGTTTATCATTTTGTGTGATGTAAATTAAATGCTGAATGGCGGTTTATGCAGGGAAAGAACATATCAATATTCGCATATTTATTCAAAAACATGAAAATTCTTAATGGAGTACCTTCATTTCTTATTGAATTCCTAAAAAACAATATTTATAATGAATTTTAATAATTTTTTCGGATTTTTTTTAAACTTTATTCTGACCGATTCATCCGATTCCTGATCCGAATCGCCGATTCGCCTATCCGGATCGGTTTTTTGGAAACCCGATACAAACCGTACCCTTAATTTTTTTTAAGTAAATTGAAAGTGTGTTTTAGATACTTTTTTTATTGAAGTTAATCCATCCCCTAAATTTGAACATCTAAAATAGTTCGGAGAGTAGACTTTACCCGAGGGAGTAAATAAACAGTACTCTGCCACGGGAGTGTAAAACCTTGTGGCCAGGTTCAAATGCAGAGAGCGTCGAACTTTCCATACCTTCTAGGGAGAGAATGGAAACTTGGAGAGGAAGCAGTGAAAAATAGATGGGCGGGGCGGCGCCGGGCGGGGCGGCGCCCCCACTTCTCTGTCTAAACAGCGGTACGCGGAAACCCTTCCCCACCCTTCACCTTTTTCGCCACCAACTCCAAAATCCAGCTGTGCTCACCCACCTCTTCTTGTTTCTCTCTCATCTTTTCCATCTTTTTCTCTCTCTTTGTTCACTTGCCATACTTTCCCGGACGCTTCCTCCAGGTTGCAAGTCCTATTTCAATTCCCCACGCAATATCTCACCCTATAAATCCAACCTCTCTCTTCTTCTATACACCATCCAATATTTTCTCTCTCTAAAACATGGTTTACTCTCCATTTTTTGGTTTGGCTTTGACATTTGTTATTTGGGGTTCTTTGATTGTGGCCTCTAAGGCTAATTTTTACTCTGATATTGATATTACATGGGGAAATGATAGAGCTAAGATAGTAAACAATGGCGAGATCCTCCAACTCTCACTAGACAGGTACTCTGGCTCTGGTTTTCAGTCCAAGAATGAATACCTCTTTGGCAATATCCACATGAAAATAAAGCTTGTTCCAGGCAACTCAGCAGGAACTGTTACTGCCTACTATGTAAGTCTCTCTCTAAACCCTCTCGGTAAAAATTAGTGTTATCAGGATTGAATCGTTTTTTGTCTAACCAAAACAGGTCTGACTACATGTTGGATTTTTGAATTTGAATTACTATTATTGTATATTATTAGTGTTTTTTTTTTTTTTAAATTCGACTATGTTAGTGTCTCTCTCTCAGAAAAATATTCCTCTTTTTATACAAAAGCTAGTTTTACTATGATTGGATTGGCTTTGGTCCAATCAAAATAAGTTGGTCTTACAACTAATGGAACATAGTAACCCAATTTTAAAAACATTTAAAAAAATATGAGCAACAATTTGAAAATATAAAACATATCACAAAAAACAAATTACCCATATTTATTTGATCGGGCAAACCTGCCAAAACGAATTAAAAATTGATTTTGAATAGTTCTAAATAAAAATCAATTTCTACTTTAGATCAGACTAATCAAAACACTACTCAACCGGTTGAAGTGGCACTCCGGATGATCTTCATAACTTTGAAACTAATGGGTTGTTATCTAGAGAGAAGTAATTGAATAATGTTATCAGAAAGAACGAGAGAGAGTTACCAGAGATGATTTTTTTTTCTTTTTTGCAGCTATCATCACAAGGCCCAACCCATGATGAAATCGACTTCGAGTTCTTGGGGAATTTGAGTGGAGATCCTTACATCCTCCACACCAATGTCTTCACTCAGGGGAAAGGGAACAGGGAGCAACAGTTTTACCTGTGGTTTGACCCCACCCAGGATTTCCACACCTACTCCATCTTGTGGAACCCAAGCCAAATAATGTAAGCAATCTCTCTCTCTCTCTAAAATTTTGGAACAGCACTAATTGTTATTGCTATTGCTATTGAAAATGAACAGGTTCTCAGTAGATGGGACGCCTATAAGAGTGTTCAAGAATGCTGAATCCCTGGGAGTACCCTACCCAAAGAACCAGCCCATGAGGCTCTACTCCAGCCTTTGGAATGCAGATGACTGGGCCACAAGAGGTGGACTGGTTAAGACTGATTGGTCCCAAGCTCCTTTCGTTGCTTCTTACTCTAACTTCGAAGCCGATGCCTGTGTTGCTCCGAAATCCTCATCATCATCTTCTTCTTCACCATGCCAAGAGGCCTCTGGTTCAGCTTGGCTGAGCCAAGAGGGTCTGGACTCAAAAGGGAAAGAGAGGCTCAAATGGGTTCAAAAGAATTACATGGTCTACAACTATTGCACTGATACTAAGCGTTTTCCTCAAGGCCTTCCCCCTGAGTGTTCCCTCTCCTAAAAAGCATTGGTGTTTTTTCTTGAACTTCTATTGATATATTCATGGTGTTTTCCATTTTTTTTAAAAGGGTGACATTATTCATGGTGTTTTATTTGTATATGTAAATGGGGAAATGTTGAAATTCATTGGTATGATATGAAATAAAGGAGCTGTTCATTTGTGTATATTGTGCTTTTTAGAAGAGATGGAGAGAAATATCTCAATAAACTCATATATGTTTTGCATGGGCATGAAATCAGACTATTGGCATCAGTTATATTATTCGTTTGTTGGTGAATTTAGAATGTATGAAATTCGTGAAAAAAATTCTAGAGTGATTTAGGCACAGACACTATAAAAATAGGAAAATATGGAAAAAGTCATTTTTTTCCCTAAAAATTATGTCAGTCCGGAGGTATACTATATGCGTCTTTTTCACTATATATATATATATATATATATATATATATA